ATCCCCCCTGGGGGGTGATTTCTCGCTTTCTGTCTCTATGTCTCTCTCTGTCTGTCTGGCAAGCGCACGCGCCCTATAGTGAAAACCTCTCCAGGAAAAAAAAAAAGAAAAGAAATATGCATAATTCTTTTTTCGTAATTATAAAATTACAGAGCCAGTCTGTGGCATGGTGGTTAAGGCAGCTGGATCCCACGTGTATGACAGTGTGGCTCAAGTCCTTGACCTAGAGGCTTAAAAAACACAGTGAGTGTGTATACTTGCCTAAAATCTTGAAAGAAGAGAAAAATGGGGAAGGGGTCATGGCATGACCATTCTCCATAGGGGAGAGGAGATGGACCTTTCTTACTTTCTCTGTTTTTTCCTCCCTCCCCACCCCAACTCATGGCCCCTGGCAAAATAAAAACAGGGCTCAAAAAGGTAAAAACATGAAATTACCTTTGCTAAGATTCTTTGGTTCCCTTTCCTACATTTAAGTTACTGACAGAGGTTGTTTTCATCCTGAAGAACTACTTTTAATGTTTCTTGTTAAGGAGTTTGTGATAGCAACAGTTTGCTGTGTTTCTAGCAGAGTCTTTATTTTACTTTCATTTGTGAAAGATATTCATGTTGATATTTAATGTAAAAACTCAAGTCTAGAATTACAAATACCATCATTATTTTTTCTATATAATTACATGATTATATCTCATTTTCCTTTTTTTTTGGCTTTTTTTTATTGCTGCATTTTTTTTCTTTTTATTTACCTTCTTTAATTGTAACAAAATATACATAATGTAAAATGTATCATTTTAATCCCTAAGTGTACAGTTAAATAAGTCTTTATCTCTCTAAACTGAAATTCTGTACCTACTAAACTTTCTCTTTCATCTGTTCCCTACCTCAGCCCCTGGAAAGCACCATGCTATTTTCTATCTCTATGAATTTGACTACTCTAGGTACTTTATGTAAATAAAATTACACGATATTTGTCCTGTCGTGATTGACTCATTAAACTTAGCATAATATATTCAAGGTTGACCCATGTTATAGCATGTATCAGAGACTTCTTTTTTAAGGCTGAATGATATTTCATTTTAAGTATAAACTATGTTTTGTTTATGCATTAGGACTTCAACAAACACTCGTCACTTTTTTTGTCCATTGTGAATAAGGTTGCTATTGTATGCATTATGTCTTCAACAAACACTCGTCACTTTTTTTTGTCCATTGTGAATAAGGTTGCTATTAACAAGAATGTACACATGGCTCTTTAAGTACCTTTTTCACTTTATTTGCATATACATTCAGAAGTAGAATTGCTGGATTTTATGATACTTCTTTTTATTTTTAAGTAGCGAATAATAAATGTGTTTATTAGATACAATGCAATCTATTGATCTATTTATGCACTGTACCAAGATTATATCAAGTTACTTAACATACTCATTGCCTCACCAGCTTATTTTTTTGCGGTAAAAATGTTTAAAATCCATTATTTTAGCAATTTCAAAATATTATTAACTGTAGTTATTAAGCGTGGTCACCATGTAATGAAATAGACTACCAATGTTTATTCTTACAGTCTGACAACAACTTTGTACCCTTCGGTAAACATCCTCCTTCCCCCTTCTCCACTCCCTGTCTCCTCCAACTTCTGGTCACCAACTTTCTATTCTCTGTGTCTACAAGGTTGTTGTTGTTGTTTTTTTTAATCTTTGTCTTTTTTTTTTTTCTGGTTATATGTCACAAGTAAGCAAGATCATATAGTATTTTTGAATTATTTCAGTATTTGTCTTTTAGCACCTGTTTATTTTCCATTGCCTGATATCCTCCTTTTCCATCCATG